ACACACACACACACACACACACACACACACACACACACACACACACACACACACACACCAGCAGCCCCCCACCCCCATTTCCATGCCCTCAGTACCTGAGCATCTCCCAAATCTTTGGAAAGGGAACAGCAATCCCAGTCTCTCTGCCCAGCCTGTAGGGGGACCAGTCAATATGGCTGGTGTGTGTATGTGGGAGAACTAAGCCCAAGAGATGAGTTTTACATTTGGGTCCAGATGTGATGAGGCCCATGCTCTTGTGGCGGTGAGTTCCACAGTCCAGATCCATCCCCTGTGGAACGTCTAATTCCGGCACTCATGGACCCAGAGGCAATGTGTGTGGGGGGGCATATTCACAGGGCCTGAGCATGCTCAGTAACATCCGCTGAAGCCACTGCCCTCACTCTGTCCCCACACTGTCGGCAGGGTCGTCTCTGCCTGGACCTCCCTCTCCTGGTGGCTAGTTTGAGGGTTCTGGTGGAACATAGGCTGTGGTGGGAGGTGATGGGTGCAGGGAGAGACGTGATCTCTTTGGTAGCAGAGTCCGAGGCCCCCACGCGCTAGGCGTTGTACATACACGTAGTAACGGACAAGGCAGACAAAGGCTGGCCAAGGGAAGGTTTGTTCTTCACGTTTTACCGCTGGGGAACCGAGGCACAGAGCGACTGAGGGACATGCCCGAGGTCTGTGGCAGAGCCAGGAACTGAAGGCAGATCTCCTGAGTCCCCACCCAGGGTGCACCTGGGTTGAGCCCTAGGCACACATCTGAGGGCTGGTCCTACACAGGTGCGGCCTCATCAGCTTTGCAACCCGGACAGATTCTCTTTTTCCTATTGCTCGACGCTGAACAACCAGCTCGATTTCCCTGGCTGGTCCCCCAATGCCCCCCACCTCCCCATCGAGTTGCAGAGAAGTGACCTTCCGAGAGCAGCAGTTTTCAACTGCAAACACCCCATCAGAGCCTGGCAAATGGAGGATGGGGGATGGCACGGGCGGAGTCTTGGATTCTCTATGCTAGTTGGCACTGATGGAAAATGCCCATACGCCGCCAGGCACATGGGCACTGCCACCCCTCCCCCGGGGCCCGTACCAGCCTTTCCTTCCCCTGGGAAGTGTCCCAGCCCTGGTGGTGCTGTCCTGCCAGCAGAGTGGAAGCGGGAGCCATTCTCATGGGGGCTTCTCTTCCTGGCAGACTAAACTCCACAAGGGGTTAATTCCTGCCAGATTTTTCTCACACTCCTGGATGAAGAGGGGAGAGAGTGCGTGTGTGGGGAGGGGGGGAACAGAAAGGGAGCGGTCTGTCTCCTGATTGGATGACAATGACATCATGCCGCCAACAGCGGCCAATAGGAAACCACCCTGCCTGTTTAAAGCTTCCCATCCCTGTAACTCTCCAGCTCCGGGTGCTGCAGGGGGAGGAGGTGGAGCTGCCGTTAATTACAGCCTCATTAGCGTCCGGGCCATGGGCCTAGGGGAGGACAAGAGGGATGGGGAAGTGATGTCTTTGTTCCAGATGGTGCTGGAGCAGCCCGCTCAGCCCACCCACCACCCCCACCTGTGCTGGGGAATCACGGATTCAGCTCACGGCCTGGCCCCATCATGTGCTCCAGCTGGGTGCTGGGGTGACATCATTGCAAGCGCGGCGTGAGGCGGCTGTGAACGAGCCAGGCCCCCTCGGGTGGCGTGCATGCTGACCCTGGCTCCCCGGGTGCGGCTGGGCCACCTCAACCTGCCCCAGGTGGGCCTCCCGGCCTGGCTGCATGGGGGAACCCCGACCCAGCCGGGCAACCCATGGAAAG